CCTCGAAATGGACATACTCGAACTATCATATAATGCCAAATCTGTGGCAAGCGAGGACATTCAGCATTTTCATGTTGGCATCGCACAAATCTACAGTACACTCCATCTACACCACAAGCTCTTATTGCGGAATCAACGTCCTCTAGTGCTTCACCATGGTATTTAGACAGTGGTACAACAGCTCATTTGAGTCCTGAACTAAACTCTATGCAGGATGCAACTAGATATCAAGGATCCGATCAAGTTATCATTGGAAATGGCTTTTGCAGTTAATAAAGTTTGTCAACACATGCACAAACCGTTGGAGTGCCATTTTCTACAACTTAAGCGTATTCTAAGATATCTGAAAGGAACATCCTCTGCTGGTCTTCTTTTACAACGTGGTTGTCTTCAACTATATGCTTTCTCCGATTCAGGGAAAGAGAACACGGCAGATAACATAAAGAGGAAAAGGAATGTATTATTATTACAGCGAGAACCTTTACAGAGAAGTATTATATATAGATACATGTAAGGACAGTGCTGACGTGTAATACATGTAACGGCTACAAGAACTGTACTAGCTTACATCCCCCTTCAAACTAATGCGGTAAAGCCGCCGTTAGTTTGCTAATGATGGTTTTAAACCGGTTGATAGGAAGTGACTTGGTGAAGATGTCAGCAGTTTGATCGTCGGTGCAAATGTGATGAACGGTGACATGTTTGGCATGAATGCTATCTCGAATGAAGTGGCAATCAACGTCGATGTGTTTGGTTCTGGCATGATAGATTGGATTATTGGCAAGGGCGATTGCAGATGTGTTGTCGCAGTAAATGATTGTAGGAGTAGTTTGAGGTGTATGAAAGTCTTCTAATAATCGCCTGAGCCAGATAACTTCGGCAGCTTCGGCTGCTAAAGATCTGTATTCTGCTTCGGTGGAAGATCTTGCGACGGTAGTTTGCTTTTTCACTTGCCAAGAGATAGGGGAGTTTCCAAGATAGTTGCAATAACCTGATATTGATTTTCGATCATCGGTGCTGTTTGCCCAATCTGCATCTGAGAAGCCTTTGAGTTGAAGTGGTCCTCGGTCGAGGGGTAAGCCGAGGTGAAGGGTGCCGGAGATGTAGCGAAGCAGTCTTTTAAGCCCTTCAAAGTGCTGGTGTAAGGGATGATGCATGTGTTGGCTTAAAGAATGAACGACAAATTGAATGTCAGGTCTAGTGAGGGTAAGGTATTGCAATGAGCCAAGTAGGTGACGGTAGAGCTGTGGATTCTCGTAAGGTTCGTGAGATTTTGAGGTGAGAATTGTCTTGCAGCTGCTTGGAGATGGAACGGGTTTGGCGCTTTGCATACCAGCACGTTCAAGAATGCGTTGGGCGTAGAGTTTTTGGTGTAGGAGTACTCCGGTTGTAGTGGATATTGATTGTATTCCCAGAAATTGAGAGAGAGCGCCGAGTTCCCTCATTTGAAACCGAGAATGCAGATTTTGGAGTAGCCGGTTGATGTCCGACGACGAGTTTCCGGTGAGAAGAATGTCGTCCACGTAGATGAGTATGTACATCCGGTTGAAGCCATTTTGGTAAGTTAAGAGCGAGGGGTCAGAAGAGCTGAGTTTGAAACCGAAATGTATAAGATGAGAGGACAGAGTGGCATACCATTCGCGTGGTGACTGTTTCAGGCCGTAGAGAGCTTTCTTTAAGCGACAGACGTGGTTGGGTTGGAGTGTATCTTGAAAGCCGGGGGGTTGTTTCATGTAGACCGTGTCGGTGAGATCACCATGTAAAAATGCGTTAGAGATATCAAGTTGATGAATATTCCAATTGTAATGAAGAGCAATAAGAATGAAGACACGTACCGTGGGTATTTTTGCGACAGGACTGAAGGTTTCTGTGTAGTCGATGCCATGTTCTTGATTGAATCCCTGAGCCACAAGTCGAGCTTTGTAGCGAGAGACCGTGCCGTCAGAATTTAATTTGATGCGAAAGGTCCATTTGCAACCTAGTACATTTTGTTGTGGTGAAGGCGGAACCAGCTCCCACGTTCCTTGTTCCTGTAAGGCCTGAAATTCCCTGGACATAGCCAGTCTCCAGTTTTCCGATTTAGCAGCCTGTGCATAAGTGGTTGGTTCGAGCGATTGAATGATGTGCGATAGATCAAAGAGTTTCTTTGGTTTACTGTGTCCGGTCTTAAGACGGGTCAGCATGTTGTGACCGGTTTGATGTGGCGGCTGTGCTGAGGACTGAGTGGAAGTAAGTTGTTCCGTGGAGGAAGGATTGGAGGCACGGGCCTGTAAGGGCTGCGAAGCGGAAGTAGTAGTAACAGATTGGTGTGGATGAGTGTAAGAAGAATGAGGAGAATGTGTGGGTTGAATAGAGTTGTTTAGGTGGCCAGGTAGCCCAGAGGTGGGTATAAGAAGCAGGGGTGGTATATTGGGTAGAGGCTTGTTCATAGCCTGAATATTTTGGCTAGTATTCTGAAACGGGAAAACAGCCTCGTTAAAGACTACGTGTCTAGAAACGTAAATTTTATTAGTTTTCATGTCTAGACAATGATATCCTTTTTGTTGAACAGCATACCCAATAAACACACACGGAGAGGACAAGGGAGAGAGTTTATTGTTAACGTAGGGTTTAAGCCAAGGATAGCAAAGACATCCGAAGACTTTGAGATGGTTGTAGATAGGTGGATGTTTGTAAAGCAATTCGTAAGGAGATTTGTTGAAAGTGTTTGGAGATGGTAACCTATTGATAATGTGGACGGCTGTGAGCAAAGTGTCGACCCAGAGATATTGAGGAAGGTGAGCTTGAATAAGGAGAGCCCGAGTAATTTCGGTGAGGTGACGGTGCTTGCGTTCGGCAACGCCGTTTTGGGGTGGGGTGTAGGGACAGGTAAATTGGTGTATGATACCTATGTGTTTGAGTAGAGCTTGAAATTGGTGTCCGGTGAATTCCCCTCCGCCGTCGGTTCTGAGAGTGTGGATGCGATGCGAGAACTGTCGTTCAATCATTTTAAAGAATTCAAAGAAACGGTGAACAGCTTCTGTTTTGCTAGTTAGAGGATAAATCCAAGTATACTTGGAGTAATCGTCAATAAAAGAAATGTAGTAGCAAAAACCTTTATTACTTTTAACAGAGAATGGCCCCCAAATATCAGAGTGGACAAGATGAAAAGGAACAGTACTTACATTTGTAGACAAAGTAAAGGGTAAGCGGTGGCATTTAGCCATTTTACAAATATCGCAAAGTTTAGAGGAGCCGGTTTTACAAATATCAGTGTGATGATTGGCCAAGCTGGATAGAGTCTGATCGGAGGGATGTCCAAGTCGCCGGTGCCAGAGATCCGGGATTGCTTGTAGGGAGATTAGCGCCAGTTTATGCTGTTGTAGTTTCTGGACGGGTGCAGCGTAAATGGGATAAAGGCCATTAATACATGGACCCCGGAGTAGTAGATGCTTGGTCCTCGGATCCTTAATTTCATAGCCGGATGAAGAGAAAGTAATGATGCAGTTGTTATCGGTGGTTAGTTGATAAACGGATAGTAGATTAAAAGACAAATTAGGAACAAGGTGAAGATTGGAAAGAATTATTTTACCTTGCGGTGTAGGAAGAATGCCGCGTCCGGTGTTGTGAATGGGAATTTGTTGTCCATTACCCAGCGTCACTTGGCTAGATCCGGTATATGGTTGAGATGATTGCAGTTGAGAGTGATCGGCGGTAAGATGCGACGAGGCACCACTGTCGAGGAACCATTCAGTTGGGGAATTATTGTTGTGAGAGCTGAGTAGAGCGGTGCTGGATGGTTCGGAATTGTATTGATCATCGTGTCGATACCAACATTTAATTGCAGAATGCCCAAATTTCCCGCAGATTTGGCATGTAACAGGATTTCTTGATGGCTGATTTCTGCGTCCAGAATTATTTTGAGTTTGTTGGTTTCTTGATTGAGACTGGTTGCGGCCGCGATTGCTATTTGATCGCCCACGACCACGAGTTCTTGATGCTGTGAGAGCTGTGGGATTGCTTGCGATTTGAAGGGAATGAAGATCACGAGTGATCTCATGAGCCAGGTTCAGCTCTTCGCTACAGAGTAGCGTGTACAAGTCATCCAGATTTAACGGCTGAAGATTTGTGCGTATAGCCGTTTTAAAAGCTTGATAGGTTGGAGGAAGACCGTCAAGCGTGTAATGGATAATGTCTTCGACGGTGAGCGGTGCACCTGCGGCGGCAAGGGAATCGACTTTGGTTTTGATGTCAAGAAGGTATTGAGTCATATTTTTGTCCTTCATGGAGACATAGTGAAGCTCATGTCGAAGTTGGGCAATTCTTGATCTTGTGCTGGATTGCAGACGGTGATCAAGAGTCTTCCAAATGTCGACGCAGTGATCAACCGATATGACATAGGGCAGAATGGTGGGGGAGATGACGGAGTATAGGGAGGCCGCAAGATTTTGATCAATGTGAAGCCATTCGGTGTATTCGTGGTTGAGTACCATTTTGCCGTCGGAATCTGTGATTGTTTTGGGAGGTGGTGGATGTGAGCCGTCCAAGAAGCCTTCGTATGAGTTTGCGCGGAAGAGTTTAATCACCTGAGTACGCCATAATGGGTGGTTGTCGGTGGAGAGGGGTTGAGTAATGACATTCTTGATGGTGTTCATCAAGAATTTGAGGGATGGTTGAATTTGAGATACTGGATGGATTGTTGAGGAGACAGGGTTCTCCGATGTCTGAGTATTGGATTGGGAGGACGACGCCATGGAGAAGACGGAGGATCACGAGCGTTCGCCGGAAAGGAAAGAAGAGAAAAAAAAAATACAGGTGAAGAATCAACGCCGCTCTGATACCATGATGATATTCAGGGAAAGAGAACACGGCAGATAACATAAAGAGGAAAAGGAATGTATTATTATTACAGCGAGAACCTTTACAGAGAAGTATTATATATAGATACATGTAAGGACAGTGCTGACGTGTAATACATGTAACGGCTACAAGAACTGTACTAGCTTACATCCCCCTTCAAACTAATGCGGTAAAGCCGCCGTTAGTTTGCTAATGATGGTTTTAAACCGGTTGATAGGAAGTGACTTGGTGAAGATGTCAGCAGTTTGATCGTCGGTGCAAATGTGATGAACGGTGACATGTTTGGCATGAATGCTATCTCGAATGAAGTGGCAATCAACGTCGATGTGTTTGGTTCTGGCATGATAGATTGGATTATTGGCAAGGGCGATTGCAGATGTGTTGTCGCAGTAAATGATTGTAGGAGTAGTTTGAGGTGTATGAAAGTCTTCTAATAATCGCCTGAGCCAGATAACTTCGGCAGCTTCGGCTGCTAAAGATCTGTATTCTGCTTCGGTGGAAGATCTTGCGACGGTAGTTTGCTTTTTCACTTGCCAAGAGATAGGGGAGTTTCCAAGATAGTTGCAATAACCTGATATTGATTTTCGATCATCGGTGTTGTTTGCCCAATCTGCATCTGAGAAGCCTTTGAGTTGAAGTGGTCCTCGGTCGAGGGGTAAGCCGAGGTGAAGGGTGCCGGAGATGTAGCGAAGCAGTCTTTTAAGCCCTTCAAAGTGCTGGTGTAAGGGATGATGCATGTGTTGGCTTAAAGAATGAACGACAAATTGAATGTCAGGTCTAGTGAGGGTAAGGTATTGCAATGAGCCAAGTAGGTGACGGTAGAGCTGTGGATTCTCGTAAGGTTCGTGAGATTTTGAGGTGAGAATTGTCTTGCAGCAGCTTGAAGATGGAACGGGTTTAGCACTTTGCATGCCAGCACGTTCAAGAATGCGCTGGGCGTAGAGTTTTTGGTGCAGGAGTACGCCGGTTGTAGTAGATATTGATTGGATTCCCAGAAATTGAGAGAGAGCTCCGAGTTCCCTCATTTGAAACCGAGAATGCAGATTTTTGAGTAGCCGGTTGATGTCCGACGACGAGTTTCCGGTGAGAAGAATATCGTCCACGTAGATGAGTATGTACATCCGGTTGGAGCCATTTTGGTAAGTTAAGAGCGAAGGATCAGAAGAGCTGAGTTTAAAACCGAAATGTATAAGATGAGAGGACAGGGTGGCATACCATTCGCGCGGTGACTGTTTCAGGTCGCTCTTTTTGCAAATCCGTTTGCTTTTTGAGCTACTTAGGAAATTGTCTTCCTTTGTCAAAACCTTTTTGTCACAAGTCCTATAAAGATCATTTTGTGGGCTATGATGAATAATATTAAACTGTAACACATTGTAATTTCTTAAAGAAAAGCCTTACCAATGCATTGTGAACCCTTAAAAAGGTTTAGGGTTTAGGTAGTGATACGACATCATGAAATTATTTGATCAGGCACGAATCTTGGCGCAAAAATCAAGTTGGAAACTTCATAAATTAAATTCGGGAGCATTTGAACTCCGATTTCAGCAAGCTTATACTCAAACTGAGCGCCTCAGAAAAAACCCAATGACACCAAATTCAACTCGATCCAAGCCCAAATGAACCCAAATCAAGCACCTGAAGTGTTTTTGGAAAGCTTGTACCACAATTTGAGTTACCAAACGGTCTCTGATTTTAACGAGCTTATAGTTGAATCGAGCGGCTCGACGAGACAAATCCAACGAGCCCAAGATCGCCGAATTCCGACATCACTAAGGCCTTCAAATATCCAACGAATGGTGCACAATCGAAGGGTTCAATATCGGCCGTCCATTCGACCACTTCCAATTCACCCCTGATCTCACGCCTATTTACGAGCTATGCCACTCCAGAAAAACTATAAATAGAGCCCTCATTCTTCACAAAGGGGACTCAAGCAAGAAGAGAGAAGAAGAAGAGAAGAGGAAGAGAAGGGGAAAGGAGAATCATCTCCTCCTCGACCACCGCCAGAGTTCTTTCCGCTGCCTGAATACGCCGGAACTCTGCTAGATTTTCGGGAGACGTCGGAATTTCGCAGAACTTTGTAACTTTGTTTCAATTTAGAAGAAACAGATTGTAAACTGATCGTCATGTCTTCTGAGACGAATCAGTCTCTGTACTTCAAACAAACACTAGTGGAAATATTTCAACTAGGCGTGGCCCCGTGGTTTTTTTCCTCTTTCGGGTTTTCCATGTAAAAATCCTGGTGTTCATTTTTTTCCTTTCATGTTTGTGTATGCTGAATATTCGTACAACGTTTTGGACGCAAAATTACAAACTCTACCACCGTGTATATTTCAGCCCGCAACAGGTAGAGAGAGAGGGGGAGAGTGAGAGAGAGAGAGAGAGAGATTCCACTATTTTTTGCAAGGAATATCATTTTTATCATAGCATATAAATCATGATTTCTTCTCATTTGCATTTTGTGCATGAAAAAATGGATATGTTGATGACTGATGTGTTTCAATATATACAATGATTTTCTTCTCATTTTCAGAAGGACATGAAATTTTAATTACATGAAATGAAATGCTTTCATCAACATCATCTCTTATACGATAATAAATCATGGTGAAGGAGCACGTGCCCAAACGGATCTTTCTTGGGAAGTAATTAGCGTGTCACAAAACTCCTTGCAAACCATTGTCAAACCATCATGTCTCCATTTAATTGAGTGTGTTGTTAGACTATTGTGGTCGACACTGTGTTTGATCCTCTAATTCAAGATATCCTCCATCTGTATCTGACAAAATGAATCTTGACTTTCGCCTTCAGCTCATCACCCAAATCCCAACGTTGAGATGACACCTAATCCCCCAAGTTAGTCTTTCATTGGTATATTGCCTGACTCTTAAACTTTCAAGCATGGATGCATGAGGAATTAATGCTTCGTTTGGGATGACTTTCTTATTACTTTTAAAAACATCTTTTTTCGTACAAAAATTAAAAATTTTATTCTGAAAATTGCTTGAAGAAACAGTAAGAAAGTCATCTGAAGCGAAGCCTAAGTTAGTTGGTTAACAACTTATTGGAAGCTCAACTGGAGTTGACCATCAAGGAGAAAACTGACACAGACTGGGCATATTTTGCTTTCAAGGATAGAAGAAATAAAGGATTGTAAGTTTGTAACTAAGCCATCTATATATTTTCACCATCACCCATAATTTTCATATAAAGATTCAATGAACACGTAATATTTGAGGAAAATAAATATATATAATAGAGAGTATGGTAGATATAATTATTCATTTCACTATTTAATATTCTCTTATTTATATACTTTTTATTAATATAGTAATACCTATATAATTTTTCTCAACTTTATTTTATTTGATTTTCTTCTCATTCATCATGTAAATACCTTTTATTTTTTTGTTATTTATATTAATTCAATATTAGTTTTGATAAGACTATCCCTTGATTGGCACGAATCTCAAGGCATTATTTGAATGAGAAAATTTTGGAATTAAATCCAGGATCATCCTAACTTTGACTTTAGCAAACTTGTAGCTGCAATGAACATCTTGACTAGATGAACCTACTTATGCTACAAAGGATCCAATGGATTTCAAATGAGCTCAAATCAAACAATTAAATAATGTTTGAAAGTTTATGCACATAAATTAATTGAAAAAATGTCTTCTATTTATTTTATACTTATAGTCAAATCGAGCGGCTCGATGAGACAAATCTTATGAGCCCAAGATTAATCTATTTTGGCATTTTTAAAACATTTAAATATTCGATAAATAATCTATAATAAAAAATATCAATATGAATTGTATGATGGAGTGCTTTGGATTTGATCAAATTTGTCAAAATATAAATCCCAAAAAATTTGTAATTATGACCTTATTCTCTACAAAACGGGAGGAGAAGAGCTAAGAGAACTAAATAAACTCCCTCATTTTTATGCCTATCATCGCTGAAGACTACCTCCATCAGTCGTCACCATCATTTACAGACTTTTATCAATGTCTCGCCTTATTATTGGTTTATAATTGTTTGTCTTTGGACATCAGAATTCTATGATCTTTATAGAAAAAAAAAAAATTTAATATGATCTACTCCCATCTACTACGTACAACAATGAGGAATAAAGGACTTTTATATCTCATATTATATATTTGATTGATATAACTAGGTGTGTCAATATTTGACATGACATGAAAACCCGCCCCGAAAAATTCAGGTTGGACCCGACCAAATTTCAAAACGAGTCGGGTTCGGGTTCCCAGATTCAAACCGTTTGAAAAATGGGTCGAGTTCTGGTTGACCAAACGAGTTGCCGGGTCAACCTGCCAACCCGTTTAACTTGAACTGCTCGCAGCTACCCGACCTGCCTGCCTGCTAGCTGTCGCCCGCGCTCGCTGACCGAGCTGCCCCCATGCCCGCCTGCCAACTGCTGAAAGCATATAGAGATAGACCATCATTTTATCAGGGTAAACATACAATCAAAAATTGTTTCAGTACAACATGTCTCCTCGACTGATCAAATTGCTGATATCTTCACAAAAGCACTACCGACTCCAATCTTTCAAGACCTTCGTAACAAGTTGACGATCACAGAATCCTCAACTTGAGGGGCGGTATTACAACTACCTTTCAGTTTCTGTATTACAACTACATGCCAGTTTTCAACATGTTCTATACTTCAGTTGCAACTGTTTCTCCATATCCGTTTCTTCATAACTACCTCTAGGCATTAATGTAATTAGATAAAATCCTTTCTACAGTTCTATAAATGTATTCATAGTTCTCCTGTACAAACACACATTGAGATGAAATGGATTGAATATTTTCTCCTATGTTATTCTTCTCTGGTTTGTAGTTTGCATTTTCTGTGTTTTCATTACAAGCATAAACTGTAAGATCAATTTCTCATTTTTATATCTGCTATTGTATAGTAGATTGATATAACTAGGTCAAGCCCCAAATTTTTTTCTCTCTGAATTTTTCACATAAAAACTTTCTAGTCTTCTTTTCTGGTATAACTTGTCTCAGATGCCAATTTTATTTATTGAACTAATTATTATTATTATTATTTTATGATGTTCTTACTCTCATATCTTACAAAAATATAAGAGTGTGTAATATTAAAAAAATAGTCGAAATTTGATGCGTTTATCATATGTTTACTGGTATTTAAAATACATTGAGCCAATATATATTTATTTCTTATAACGTAATTAAAATATCATTAAAAATATTTATAAGTATGAACATATCATCATATTCAATATTCTCTTTAATATATTTATTTATGCAAACTAATTATATATTTTTTATTTAAACAAAAGCTATCATTAAATTTTTATGTTAGAATTTTTTTAATAAAAAAAAAAAATTAACCATTTTTTTGTGGAAAAATAAATTATATTTCGTATAAAGTAAAAATAAAAAAAGGGAAATTTACATACATACCACTTTATAACATCCTATTTATATATCTAACACCTAAAACTTTAATATTACATGCATACCACTCTATATTATTTTAATATCAAATATACCACTTTTATTTCTTTCCTATCACTCATATATTTCATTTCTACCACTCATATTTGATATGAAAATGAACTAAGGGTGGTATGTATGTAATATTAAAGTTTTAGATGTTAAATATGTAAATAGAATAGTATTAAGTGGTATGTATGTAAATCTCCCAATAAAAAAACCATCTTTAAGATTCAACTCCTTCGCCTTCTGGTCCGGCTCGGGCAGCGAACTCGTCGCACTGAAATCGGCAGGATTCAGTAGTTTGGCGGCGAGAGAAGTCTGTATGAAGCGGAATAATGATGTCAATTCCAATGGTCGAAGCACCCTATACGCATTTTCGTCTTCCTCGCTTAATTACTCTCAGCTCGTCAATGTCTTCTTCATCTATAAATATCCATGTACCGCTTGTTACACACATAAGCGAACTCCAGCGTAAAAGAACAGATATCTCTTGTACAACAGTACGCCAATGGCGCCCAATTCTCCCAAAGAGAGCAGCAAACAAATCATCAATGCCCTTACGTCCTCCTACAATGACCAAATCCGCCCCCTACTCGACGCCGTCGACCGCCTCCGCCACCTTAAGGTGATGCAGGAAGGTATCGAGCTTCCAACCATCGTCGTCGTCGGCGACCAATCGTCCGGCAAATCCTCTGTTTTAGAATCCCTTGCTGGCATCAGTCTCCCCCGCGGCCAAGGCATATGTACCCGAGTCCCCCTCATCATGCGCCTCCAAGGCGATTCCTCTCTTCCCGTCCCTAAGCTCCACCTCGAGTACAAGGGCAAGCAGGTCCCTGTCTCCGAGTCCGCCATCACCGCCGCCATCGAGTCCGCGACGGCAGAGATCGCCGGCTCCGGCAAAAACATCTCCGACTCCCCCCTTACCCTCGTCGTCCGAAAGAAAGGCGTGCCCGATCTCACCATGGTCGACTTACCCGGCATCACCCGAGTACCCGTGCACGGCCAGCCTGAGAACATCTACGAGCAGATCTCCGGCATAATAATGCAGTATATAAAACCAGAGGAGAGCATTATTCTTAACGTTCTCTCCGCAAGTGTAGATTTCCCTACCTGTGAATCCATCCGGATGTCACAGCAGGTCGACCGCACCGGCGAGAGGACACTTGCGGTAGTTACCAAGCCTGACAAGTCGCCGGAGGGCCTTCTTGAGAAAGTCACAGCCGACGACGTCAACATTGGCCTCGGTTATATTTGTGTGAGAAATCGTATTGGTTCGGAGACATATGAGGAGGCCCGTGTAGCTGAGAAGATTTTGTTCGCTGCTCATCCTCTGCTTTCAAAGATCGACAAGTCCATAGTTGGAATCCCTGTCTTGGCGAGCAAGTTGATGCAGATCCAAGCGCAAAGCATAGCAAAATCGTTACCTAACATTGTGAAGAAAATCAACGAAAAGCTGAACCGCAATGTTTCAGAACTGGAAGCCATGCCAAAAAATCTGGCCTCCGTTGCCGACGCCATGAGAGCTTTTATGCAGATTATTAGCAAAGCGAAGGAGGTGCTCAGGAAGCTGCTACTAAGAGGAGAATTTGATGATTTTCCCGATGATAAAAAAATGCATGGCACGGCGCGGCTAGCTGAAATGCTGAACTCTTATGCCACCGAGCTGCCGAAAGATTTTCCGGTTACGAAAGAAGCATTCTTGCTGGAAGAAATCGGGGTGCTGGAAGAGGCAAGAGGCATCGGCCTTCCAAATTTTCTTCCCAGAACCGCTTTCTTGACTATTCTTCAGAAGAAGGTAAAGGATGTATCGACCACCCCGCTAGATTTCGTCGGGAGGATATGGAGTTATTTAGAAGATGTGGTTGTGCGAGTTCTCGACGATGCAACGGTAAACTATCCTTCCCTTCAGTCGTGCAACAGAAGGGCCGCGCAAAATCTCATCAGCAAAATGAGGCTGCGTTCGAACCATGTCGTAAAAGATATTATAGAAATGGAGCAAGTTACAGACTATACTTTCAATCCAGATTATATGAAAATATGGGTGGAGCTCATGGAACTTCAAGAACCTTTCATGGAAGTTGTGCATGATTCTTCAAAGCCAACAAAGATAAACCTTAAAGTTGTTGGTGAAGTGGATGTGTCGCATTTGCGGGGGAGGCGTGATGTGATAGTTGAACAAGCATTTGATATGAGGATGAGGCTTATTTCTTATTGGAAGATTGTGGTGTTGAGGTTGGTTGATGTTTTGGCTCTGCATATTCTCTACGATGTGAAGAAATTAGTAGAAAATGAGCTTGAAACAGAGATTTTGAATGAAGTGGTCGGCGGACAGAAGATGAATGGGATTGAGAAGATGCTGGAGGAGTCTCCTTCAACTGCTGGGAAGCGGGAGCGAATAAGGAAGAGCATTCAGCTGCTGAAGGAGTCGAAGGAGGTGGTGGCGAAGATCATGGATAGAGTTTCTCTCAATGGCGCTGATTGAGTAGTACTCCTCTTAGTTTTGACGTCATTTTGTCCTGTTTTTGCTGGTTTAAGATATCCTTTCTCCTTTATTGTTCTACTTTTATCTCTTTTTTGGGTAAGTTTGTTTATGTTTCGATAGGTTCTTTGTTGAAGCTGCTCCTATATGTTGTCTGGCGGGCTTATATAAATATTTTCTTTTTAAGGTAAAATGAGCAAAGCTTTTTTTTTGGAAAACCCGGGGCTAATTAATAATAGCCCATATATTGATAAACAAAAAGGCCTATTACAATAAAACTATGAGAAAAGAGAGAAGACTAACATTCTAAAAGAACATACAAAATTTACAAAGACTATAGCAGCATAAACAAAATAGACGGAAGACAAAAAACATAGACTCAGCATATAGGAGCAGCCTCATTCATCAATGAATCATCAGAAGAAAGTCCATCAACCAGGCAGAGGCACCGGTTGCCCAAAACCCGAAGGACTGGAGATAGAATTCCAAGAAAACTGGCCATCACAGCAACCACTGCCTGAAAAAAATACCCGCAAAAACGAGCCAGGTTGCCACGCAGGCCCTCCATAGCTCGGAGAGACTGCCCTTTGACATCATCGTCTTAATGTCTAGCGTCCACCAGCAATGCCAACCATAGTCTCTGTAGTATACCCGAGAGATATAAGTGAAAGATTTCAGCAAAAATGTGGAATGCCTGATAGATATCAAGCTCATGCATTCCCAAAAAATTTCTCCCAGGTCTGAACAAAACTCGATGATAAAAACTAAACCATGTATAATATCCTGGGAGCAAAAAAGAGTCCCGTGACAACATCCAGATCTGAAAACTTCATCAAAATTTGTATATAAGCAATTCCAGCAGACCAAAATAACATAACAGAGGCCTAAATTTCCGAAAATCTGTTGAGTAAAGTTGAATTGTTCTTCCATTTTACAGTTTTAATTCTCACCCCAGTTGAAATGTTGCAAATCACTTTAGTCACATTGGTCCTAAGATTAGAGAAACGCCAGTTGTTTCTCTCCCTCCAAACATTGTAAATAATGCAACAGATCGTTAAAAAGCAAAGATCCTTTTCAGTTCTGTTGTAAATCATAGAATTTTCAAAAAATTCCAAAGTCTGAGAGAGAGCCGGCCTTAGTAAGAAACAGCTAACATCTGGCAAAAATGTCTTAAGGATATAAAAGGTGAAGTCACATTCAAAAAATAAATGTGTGTGATTCTCAAGGTGATCAGAACAAAGAGAACATTTAGGAGGCACCCTAATGCCTCTAATCAAGAGGTTGTCTGCCATTTTAAGTCTACCAAGTATTGCCATCCAAGCAAAGCAAGCAAATTTTAAAGCATGATTTTTGTGCCAAATGGAACAATGCCAATCCACCTTAGGTAAAGAAGAATAGTAAAATTCTGTATATTTTTTGAAAGTACAATTTGTGGAGCCATCCCAGAAAAGCTCATTTTTATCATGTATTGCCACCTTACCGATGCTATCTTGGATATGAATAGGGATGCAAGAAGGTAAATGCCATATATCATTAAGAATGAAATCTCTCACTTTCAGAACTTCCAAAGAAGGTAAATGAATAACATCAGCCAAAAGTTGCCCAGTAAGCCACGGATCCCACAAAAAAGAGAAATGACTATGCTTCGACACAGTAAAAGATAAGATATCTTTTAATTTATAAGCCGTTTCAGAAATTTTGTGCCAAGTTTTAGAATCAACCTGGGGAGGATGTTTCCAAGGTGTTAAAAATTTAGCTTGATACCAGAAACTGAGAAGATTTTGATTGTTGTAAAATCTCCCTAAAATAGAGCAGAAAACACCAAAGTAAAGAGCTTCCAGAGAGGGAATTCCGAGACCTCCAGCAGATTTAGGCCTAGTGACAGTGGACCAAGAAATAAGATGAAGTTTTCTCTCAGTCAAGTTGTTGTGGAATAAAAACTTAGAGCAAAGTTTGTTGATAGTAGCGCAGCAACCCTTAGGAATGATCGATCCTCTAATCCAATAGGCAATGGTGTTTGTAATAGTAAATTTTAGGAATTGCACCCTACATGCAAAAGAAATAAATTTGTTTTTCCAACCAGCAAGTAGAGCATAAATCCTGCTTAGGAGTGGTTGAAAGTAAGAGGCTTTGAGTCTTTTGGTGAAAATGGGAATTCCCAAGTATGTTAAGTGAGTGTTGACATTATGGATATCAAGCTCAGCGCAAATCAGGAGGTTATCCGGATGGTCATAAGAAAACAAAATAGCACTTTTGTTGGTATTGATATTTAGGCCGGATATAGAAGCAAAAATCTGTAATTTTCTATTCAGATGCTTTGCATTATCAATAGAAAGTTTCCCCATCACCAAGGGATCATCAGCATACATAAGATGACTTATGTGGATATCTCTACAGGTAATACCTTTAAATTTCAAATCATCAGAAGGATCAATAAGAATATTTGATAAACCATCCATTGCAACACAGAACAAAAGGGGAGATAAGGGGCAACCTTGTCTAAGCCCGGAGCTTGATTTGAAAAAATCTTCCAGAGAACCATTTAGACAAATGGAGAAATAAACATCATTAATGCACCCCTTAATCCAAGAAACAGAAGTATCAGGAAAACCCTTCTGCAAAAGTCTAGCTATGATAAATTTCCTAGAGACCGTGTCAAAAGCCTTCTTAACATCCAACTTGACACAAAATTTCTTATGATGGCCAGCAAATTATCTCAGAAGCTCAGTAGCAAGAATAATATTATCCGTCGAGCACCTCTTAGTGATGAAACCGGATTGACTTTCATGTATGATGTAAGGAAGAATAATTTTGAGTCTATTGGCTAAGATTTTAGCAACAATTTTATACATAACATTGCAGAGTGAGATTGGTCTAAAGTCATTGATGTGAGAAGCATGAGAAGACTTAGGAATTAAGGCAATGACAGTTGCCTTGACACATTTTGGAAGGGAGCCCGTGTTGAAAAAATTATTGACAGCATTGAACAGTATTAAACCAGTGAGATGCCAAGTTTTCCTATAAAAAGCATACGAAAATCCATCCGGCCTAGGTGCATATTTTTCATTTCCATCAAAAACCACAATTCTAACTTCTTCAAAGGTTAAGGGGGCCACAAGCATGCAACAGTAATGAGTAGGAACCAAGTTGCCTTTAGGGATTTTAAGTGGAAGGTTGAGAGCGGGGTGGAAAGTATTGAACAGACCCTCAAAATGCTTAATAATAGCGTTAGAAATGCCAGTAAAACTAGTGAAATGCCCATCCGAAGTGGTAATCTCTTTAATACAGTTCTTGTTGTTTCTGCTTCTAATATGAGCAAAAAGGAAACCAAGGTCATCCTCCCCTTTAGAAATTAAAGCCAAAGAGTTTTGGCACGTTGGGATATCCAAGAAGTCCAGTGACTTTGCAGAAAGGCTAAATCCTTATTGATGCTTTTCAGATTTTGATTCAACTCCACATTCAATGGAAAATTTTGGAGCTCAGATAAACAAAGATTTTGCTTCCTCTTAATATCCAACAAGGCAGCAGAAAGAAATGTAGAAGAGGCCCAATTCCGACTTTTAAGAGCACTCTTAAGCTTTTGTAAACTGTGGTGAAAAGAAGCCATGGGACTTCTAACATATCTAGAAGAAAAAGCTTCGAAAACATCGTCCCAAAAACCCTCCATGTTGATCCAGTAATTCTTAAATAAGAATCTAACAGAATAAGCCTTTTCATGAGAAGATTTAAAAATTAATGGAGCATGATCCGAACCAAGATGAGATTCAACCTTGTAATAAGCATTTGGAAATAGGTCCAGAAGGGCATTATTCACCAGCACTCTGTCCAACTTGATGTGTATAGGGTTATCCACCCTTTGATTGAACCAAGTATAAAAAAGACCCGTAGAAGATAGATCTTGAACCCCACAATTGAAAATCATGTTATTAAGTTCTCCCAAAGTACTGTTGGAAGAGATAGAACCCCCAGCTTTTTCGGTTTCAAATCTATAACAGTTAAAGTCTCCCATGATAATCCAAGGATGATCTAAATGGGGAGAAGAGGAAGCAATATGATCCCACAGTTTTCTTCTATCTTCCACATGATTGGAAGCATATATCACAGTCAAGTAAATCGGTGGGAAAGATCCCGCAGAAAGTATGCCATGAATGAATTGAGGAGAGGAGGATAAAAGGTTAAATGAGAGAGCCGCAACATCCCATTTAATCCAAATTCTACCAATGGAGGAATCCCCAAAGTTATTACAACTAACTTCGTTGTCAAAAATGCAATGAGATCTCAAAAATCACGGATCTTCAACAGAAGAAGTCGAGATTTTAGCTTCCAATATACATAACATCTTGAGGTCATTAGTGCTAACAAGAGACTTACAAAAATTTACTTTGTCAGGGTTGTTATACCCTCTCACATTCCAGTTGGCTATCTTAGGGAAAGACATCATGATTTTTGACCTTTGGCCTTCTTGGCCGATTTGCCCTTCGGCTGCTTTGTCTTCACAGGTGATTTACCATTTTCAA